AATAATAGAGGAAAGGGGGGGAGTTATGTGGATATGAGAGGTATGGAACTCTATGTGCTCAATCATTCTGTAAATCTAAACCTGCTCAAAAAATAGTCTTAATTTTCAAAAAGATTGGGCCTCCACAATCTCAAAAAGTATTATTGCTACTTTAGACTACAGAAATTCCAGTAAGTGAAAAAAAATTTTTCACTTAAAATCAAATCAAATTTAAATAAAAAATAATTTAACTTTAATCCCCTTGTCTTTTTCTTGGCATTGGTCATGTTGCTATCCCTGCTCCCTAGCACCTACATCGGAGAATGATAGCTAAGAAATGGAGAAGATATCCAGCTGGGAAGCTGCTTGACCAGTTATGGTTAGCAATTTAGCCTGAGGAACTAAAATGAGATCTGGTGATTATCATGGACACTCAAGCACACATATATACACACACAAAACTTAAAACATTTTTGCATCACTCATTAATGCCAACAAATCAAAGTGTATTTAAAAATTTATCAAGAGGGATGTAAATATATGGTACTTTCATTCAAAAGCCCGAAAGTCCTCAATGCCCTTTTTTGTAGGTTAAAAGAGTTAGAAAGTATAAGCTACAGAAATCCGTGTGAGTCCAATGCTATGGTTCCTTAGAAATCTATGTGACCTTTTGATGGAGATATCAAGCTGTAGCGTTTTGACAGCCTTATCCAGCACCCAGAGATGTTGCACAAGTCCTTTTTGATGGCAAAGGCAATAGCTACTGCTCGCTCTGCTTTTCTGGCCAAGGCAAAATCCAAGAGAATATTCCTTTCCCTGGTATGTCAATGCTTCCATTGCGATAGGTGAGCAATTATTGAAGAACAATTCCCATCACTGACACCCCAGCCCCTGCAATAACTACACTACCCACTTGACACTTCTGGGTAACTAACAGTACAGTGGTCTAAGGGCAGTCCATCTGTCTTCCTACATCACTAGAACACTCCTGCTGCAAACAAAGTATGGCTCTCTTCTCTCCAGATGGCCCTCTCTTCAGGCCATATCTGGGATGCTGCACTAGTTCTTAGTTTCTCAAAGATAGCTGGGTCTTTCTGGTCCATGCTATGTGCCAACTACTGTAACCCGAACAAGTTATGGTCTTTTCCAGCTCAGTAAACCCAAAAGTCTGACCTCAAGATTTATTAAGATCCAAACTGAAAAGTGACAAGTATGTGCCCTATGAACTGTACAGTACCATTTAGATGAAAACTATAGCAACTGGCATAAGGTAAAGCAAAACTCACTACTGAAAGAGTTTAAGTGGACTTATCACTTAATTAAAAATCCTCAGCAGCTTTTCTTCTGGTTGTGACATCAAAGGGGAAAAAAATTTATTCTGTATCACCACAATCCATTTTTTTTAGCAACAACCATCAAGAGTGGATTATGGTAAGTACTACTGACAATGATTTATTAAATGAATGATGACAAAGATACATGAGGCTACCTAATGTTCACATAGCCTGAAATAACAATTACTTTTAACCAATGTCTGTGATTTGTGTAACAATATATGTTCAGTGATATAGCTGAACATATTAATATATGTTCAGATTATATAACCTAAATCTGAGGATTTTTATTTTTGACAACTAATCTGATGAATTCAAAGCCACAAAACATGAAGGGGTGAGGGAATGAGGAATCTGAAACAGATGGCATCTAATTTTTGTCCTGAGTCCATCTTGAACACAATCCCAATAATGTCAAAATCGAATTTAGCTCTCCAAATAAGTAATCTACAAAACTGAAAATGTTAATTCTGAAGTAAATTCATTCTTTTTTTTCCCTCCCTAGTTCTCAAAGTTTTTATATTAGGCAAAAATGAGTAGAGAAAAGTTAGGAGTTTAAAAACTATCATTCTACAAACTCTAAAGTTCTTTCATGAAACTCTACATCCACTTATCTGAAAACACTGAAGCAGTTTCTATCAAGGTTGGTAATATTAAAATCTGTCTATGATATCAGCCCTTTTTTTCTGGATACAATGATTATTTATCCTTATTACAGAACACATATCTCCAAAAAGAAATATACTTTAAAATAGAAAGAAGCTCTGGAAGAATACTCATTTGAGTAAAGCACTGCCTGGCATTTTTTAAGCATTTCCATAGTAACTCTTTCACTCTGATTTGGTAGCACCAATAAAATTAACTATACTTTGTTCATTATTTGATTACAAAATATAGTATATAAACCTTCTCAATCTTTTCTAAAACTTTCTGAGATCATCTAAGAGATGAATATTAAAGAAAGGTTTAGCCATTTTTAGATTTCCTGACAAGCAAATTCCATGACTGACAACTGCAAAGATCCTTAGAATGGCCACATATTTTGAGTGGAAAGAGTCATTGAGAGAAGTGCCATCTGTAACAGTCTCTACTGCTGCCTACAATTTAGATAATTTTTTTTTCATCTGACAGCTAGTATCCTCTTATACCATAATGGTTTATTAATGTTTTATGGGAAGGTAGGAGAAAAAATGGGAACTTCTGATAGCTTTACTAAAGCAAGATAATATGGTCTCGAACTTAAAATTTGAAAAGTGATGGAAAAAAAAAAAAGATCTAAGAAAGCAAAGCTAAAAGCTTACAGATACACTAAAGACTTTACACTCTCAAAAAAGCCACTTATAAAGCTGAATAACCTTACAAAAACCTACAACTGTAGCAAAACATAATTTCAACTAAAAAAATAGTACAGATACTTTATTAATAATTTAAAATCTATCCATCTATTTACCAATTTGACCAATATTTATTTATTGCCTATTATGTAGCTGCAGTGGACAAAATTTAAAATAATATTTCTACCTCAATGAGCATGCAATATAGTTGAAGACTTTTATCAGTTTTATTTAAAAAAAAAGTTCTACCCGGTTTAAAAGATAGACTTGGGGAAAAAAAAAAATCTTTGAAATTTTCTCTCAAAATTATGCGAAACTTATAAACCTCTCTAAAAACTAATATTGAATTACAAACTTTTTCCCACTTTTCACATAAAAAAACTATTAAAGCAAGTTATTTGATTTTTATCCTTTGAGTATACATTTAAAAATTATTATCAGTTACATGAAAATGCAGACTATATTAGCTGAAAATCTGACATACAATAGGTTACATATATCATTTAAAAACTATTAAACGAATAAGTTATAAAGACTTCATGCTTCTGATTTATTACTACATTCTCATCATGAATGATTTAAAGGCAGAAATTCATTCCACTTTCATTTATTTTAGATTATACATATAAGAATTCTGTAAGTTTTAGTAATAATTTAAATCTAATCAAGATGAGTCATGCTACTGATGTTGACTTTAATCATAAAATTACAACTACTTTCTATTTTATGCCCCAATTTTAACTCTTTAGAGATGTGACCGTTAATCACGTGTACGTAAAATTTACATACATTACTTTTTAAAGTTTTTCTTATCAATCCATACTATACACATCACAAATCTGAGAAAAACCTCTGAAATATAATTAGTCATTTTAATAAATGCATATATTCTGCTTTATTTTTAATAAACTACTGGTAACTGAATTCCATGCTTACTTATGATCAATTTCCATAAACCACTAAAAGTCCTGTTATGTACATAAGTTTTGGAATATTTTCCAATTCTCTTCCTATCTCAAACCTCATTCCACAAAACTGGGCTACCTTGACTGTGTAAGATTAATGATAATCCATCTTTCAAGGAGAAGGTGCTTCCGTTTAAAGTGGGATGTTATTTAAATATAGTACCCCCCCTTACAATAACTGGTAAGAATTTTAACTTATTTTACTTACGAAGAAAATGAATCTGATAGGTTCATGACTTGCCCAAGGTCAACAACTACCCAGTGGCAGTCTGGGTTCAATCCCAGATTTACCTACCTCAAAGCCAATACTTCCACTTGACCACAATTATCTCCTTAAAAGATTAAGAGACAAGCTCAAAAGCAATGTTGTCACTCTGAACATATATATTCTGAAACATCTATCACCACACAGTACTTATGATTCAGTCACTGATCGAAATACAAACGAAGAGGATCTTTCTGCTTCATTTAAACTAGGATAAGCTTACTGGCAAGTAAAACAAGAGGTTGGAAAAGGCTTGCCTCAACATGTCTCCCCTAGACCTCTATATCGATACGGTTCCCCTAGTCTATTTTTTATAAACGCCCATATCTACCAAACGAGGTTATGCCGGACTAGTCTATAGTTTGGTGCTTGTCAGAACTGCACTTTCCTAAGATAATTTATACCAGGTTAAATATCGAACTGGAAGACTTTGCTGAAAATGCCATTCTGGCACTTCCCAAACATTTGAAGTATCATTTAAAAGCAACAAACGCAGTTCCACCCCCTTTCTCTTACGCTGCGATGCTTGCCTATTTGGCGGGGTACAGCTCCTGTAGGACGCTGGGGTGAGAGCAGTAAAGGAAGAAGTGGGGGAAGCGCACGGAAGTTGGGTGGAGGGAGGTCTCCTTACCCACTCTTATGCCCTAGCTATGCCAAGGGCGGCTCCCCACGGTGCCCAGCCGACTCACAACACCCACAACCCTCGAATCTGGGTTCTGTCCCAGCGGGGTGGACTGGGGAAGCAGGCAATGGAAGCATTGGATTGCCCCAACCACCTCCCTGAGATCTACGCTCTCCTTTGGGCCCCGGAGGATGCTCCCCCTTTCAGAGCGAACCCTCCAGGTGGCAAACTCCCCGTCCACAACGGCCGAAGTCTTCTGCATCCGAGGGGGCGCCTTCTCCGCAATCTACACCCAGCCACCAGAAACTCTGCGCCCGCGGTGTCCTCCCAACCCCTACACTCCCCCGCAACCCTCCACAGACACACATGCCGGCTTGCGCCCCACCCAGGATCGCGTCGTCCCCCTCCTTGACCCGGCGAAGGGCCCCCTACCAGCCCCAGAAATACACACACACCCTCCGGCTCCAGCCTCCCGGACTCCGCCGAAGCCGGAGCGAGTACCTGGTCTGGCCGTGCTCGGGTCTCAGAAGGGTGGAGAGCGATCCCCTCCCGCGCCGAGCGCTTCTCAATCCACCCGCAGCGGTGGCTTCTCTCTTTCCCAGGAACGGGAGGGAGGAGAGGTGTGGGAGGGGAGGGGGAAGGCGAGGAGCCGAAGGGGCGGCAGGAGCCGTACCGGAACCACTAACACTGGCCCCACCCTCGGCCTGGCGCTGAGCACCCGGGTGCTCTGGATAGGACAAACTTACAGCAAGCAGCAAGAAATGGACACCACCACTTCCGGGTCATCCCCGCTACTGCCACTCCTTAGCAACCGCGTGGGGTTGCTAAGCGGAAGCGCCTTCAAAGACAACCACCCCCATTTCTTCTGGGACTATCAGGAGGTAGTGGCGTGTGCTCCTCTTTGGCACTATCCTATTACCTTCTGCACCTGGTCTTAGACCGAGCAAACGCTTCCTGGCCAAAGTAACAAGCCCATCCTGCTTTTTCCTTCAGCTGTACTCCCCTATCAGCCCCCACCAAACATATACACCTGCTCCCTCTCCCGCCCTGAGTCCCAGGCCAACCCATTGGCTCCTCCTAAGGCTCTCTCTGGTCCCTCGTGGGAGTTATTTTCTGGCGGTTTAGCAAGCATCTCCCTCTTGTGGATTTTCAGTTGTGTTTCAACTGGGTTTTAAAAACTTTCAATGATATGAAAGCTTTTTACACTTAGCTCTCCTTTAACAGCCCCCGAAATGCGATAGTGAGATAAGTTTTGTCTTCGCCTATCTTTTGTAAGGATTGTACGTTTGTGTATGATCTGGAAATAACCTAGTTAAATGTAAGAGAAAAACAAAGATTTGCTGTAAATCGAGTAGAGTGATTTTAATGCTTGAAAGGAAAAAGCAATAAGAAAAGGCCAAAGGAAGCCTGTAATCAAGCTTGGTAAGGAGGAAAAAAGTTAATTCTCCACTCAGAAAAAATTTTCATACAGTGGACAAGAGAAGTGTTGATAAGAAACCTCATTTATTCTTGTGTCACAGTGATCTGGGCTTTGAAAATACTGGGGAAACTACTGGTTGGGGTAAAAGCCAGCAATATAACCAATCCTCTTTAGGAAAATGACCCATATCATTATAACAGTTAAATATTCAGAGAAATGTAGTTGAGTATTTAGACAGAAAAATTAGTAAAAACCTTGGCTTGACTTTCCTGTTTTGAATAGGTCTGCTTAAGAGTAACTCCTGAATCTGTTCTCTATTCCATGGCAGTGAATGTACTTGTAACTGCTGGCTCTAATTTTACTGGTCATGATAACCTCTTAGTCACCAATGTTGGACTGTTGTCCACCTCAGCTAGTGCCAAGAAAATGAGCTTTGGTAACTTAAAAGAAACAGCAGACCTATTGGTTTCCTTTACACATGGGACAGCATTAAATTGATTTACTCTAG